TTATTTGTCGTATTCATTGCCGACGATGCGTTTTGCTCAAGCCAGAGCTCTTCGGGCCATCTGGGTTACAACACGGAAGACTAATTGTATAAGTTATTTGTTACAACAGTAATTGTTATATTATAACTAGCGTATAGTCCATTAAACATGACGGAGCAAGTACTACCACCCCCACCCCATAGTGTACCCTAATCTCACATTTCATAGCTAACCGAAATAGATAAAATTTGGGAAATCAAGTTTGACCAACAAAGAGGCAAAAAAGTGCAGTCGAGACATCCCATAATACTTTAAAACTACTGTATAACATTCCATAATAGTTTCAAAAGTCACTCTATAACATTCTATAATTGTTAAAATACTATAACATCCCAAAATAATTGAAACTACTCTATAACATCCCATAATAGTTTTGTTGCTAAGCAACGATATATATTGTTGAGCATTACCAAAAAACGAGCGTGAAAGCATTATCGACAGCATAACATCCCATAATAAATAGTTAAAAACCACTCTATAACATCTCATAATAGTTAAACTACTTTATAATATCCCATAATAGTTAAAAAAACTACTGTATAACATCCCATAATTAATAGTTAAAAAACACTATAACATCTCATAACAGTTAAACTACTTTATAATATCCCATAATAGTTAAAAAAACTACTGTATAACATCCCATAATAGTTTTGTTGCTAAACGACGATATATGTTGTTGAGCATTATCAAAAAAGGAGCGTGAAAGCGTTCTCTGCGGAGTGACAATGGGAATAAGGCCTATTCATAGAATAATTAGTGGTAGAAGTCAGTTAGATTAACAACTTCTAATATATAGAAAATGGCTTAATTCAGAAACAATTTAAGTTTAAAATTAAATCGATATTCTTACTTTCATGAATTCAGTCGTGGCAATGATACTAAACAAAAGCTCTAATGATAAGGACTTTACAACTTTTTCAAGAGCAAAATATTAACTATAGATGATGATATGGCTACATAAAGACCGACGTATCAACGAATATTAGCTGTGTATTGGGATTGTCAGACATCAAGTACTGAACTGCCTCATTTGGAATGCGTTCACAAGATAGTGTGTCAAGCTGAAACATCAGGTAGTCTATTAGGTCTTGATATCCATTTTACATAAACGGAAAACTTTGTCATTTTACAGAAAATATCAAGCACTAATTTACTTGTATTCATAATGGCTGGAGACGGCTTGAATGGGTAATAAAGAAAAACTTTAATATAAGTTTAACATAACAGCAAATGTACAACGTTTCGACAAGGTTTTGTCATCATCAAAACCTTGCTCAAACGTTGTACATTTGCTGTTATGTTAAACTTATATTAAAGTTTTTCTTCATTACATATTCAAGCCGTCTCCAGCCATTATTAGTCTCAAAGTGGGTTCCTCGTCATCGAATTTACTTGTATTCAGTCTTATATATATATATAAGCATATATATATTGCTAAGATTTATAATTTTACTGCTTGAAACTGTTACGACAGCGGAAGTCACGTGACTCTGGTAACACGTGATGATATTCTCGAATGATCGTGAATTGTCCTGGCAACTCTAGTCTGTTCCAGGCGCCCTCTTTTTTAGTATATAAGTCCGGCAAATAAAGCGGGATGAGAATTGCAGATACATAGATATAGAGACAGATAATTGAGTGAAGCGAGCGGTAGTGACGATAATATAAAGTGTGTGTTTTGTTATCGAGATTGCAAACGTATTAACTGTGGAAATGCTGTGTATTATAAAGTTGTATCGAGAAAGAATAAGCTAGTTTTAATTAAGAAAGGACTTGTATCGCTGAAGTTTCTTGGAAAGAATTTCTACAGGAAATTAACAAACAAACAGATACGTAACAAAACTTTAGTCAGTTACAGGTAAATCTAATTTAGTTTTTTACCTTTTTAAAATTTTTATTTCACTTTATTATAGTCGGGACCAAATGACGTGAGCAACTTCGATAGTGGATTTACCATGGAGACAGCTGTCTTAACACCGATAAACACTCAGATCCTTACTTCCATAGATCAACAACAGTTTGAGGGATTCAACTATACCAACCCTAACATGGCGGATTAACCTTCTGGGATAATTTATGGTGATCTCAACGACTAAATATACAGCTACTAAAGAGAGGATCACGATACTTCAAACAGCCATTTCTATGTTAAAAAGTTTGTAAAATCTACAGAGACAAATTAAAAACGTGTAAGATCCCCAATGGCTCAGCGGTAAGTCTGAGGGCATATAAAGCTAAAAACCAGGTTTTGATATCCGTAATGAGCACAGCACAGGTAGCCCATTGTGTAGCGTTGCGCTTAACAACAAACAAACAAAAACATGTAAGCGGTATAAGAAGAGGTGTATGAATTACATTCTTTGTTTAAAATCCGGGTAACGAGACTTGACCGTCACTCTTCTCACACTACTCGTGTGTGATCGGATAATGAGACTAGACCGTTACTCTCACAGCACACCCACAGCCTCAAAGTGCGAAGCGCATTTATTGTTTTGTTCCTTTATTTGCGGCAGCGGGACGCGAATCATCGATCTTTGGACTTACATTCCGGACACACTACCCACTGGGCCACGTCCGACTCTTTCCGGAAAACACTATAACGTTTCGCTTTACCAGTGTTTCACGTTTCTGTTGACTGAAACTGTGTATCTCTTCCGCTTCCACTCGAATTTTCTAGTGAAGGACTAGTAACATATTGCGGATGAGGAGTATTTCGCTGAAGTTAAATATTAAAAGTGTGTTCCTAATTCAATGTAGTTATGTTTATATAATAACATTATTTTGTAGATGTGCTTCTCTGGGTCTGTGATTTCTGTTATGCGTTTTAAACAAACATCGTCAAAGTAAAACCGATTTTGTGACATGATCGGTTATATACAGTAATTAGTATACGAAAAGCTAATAGCAAAAATAGTTGTTTCAACTGTGAGAGCTGTTTAATGTATATTTTAACAAGTCTGTTTTATTAAAGCATGATTAATATGTATGTCACAGAGTATAAAATATCTGTCATTGAAGTGTTACTGTAGCCTAACCCGTTAACTATCACAATAGCATTCGATTATTTTAGCTTCCCTTTTTTAAGTTTAAAAAGTTTTTGATTGGATTGAAAGATTGATTAAATAAGAAGGGTCATCGCTTATAATATAGTAAAGTAAATAGTTCTCGTCATAATTATTATTTCACTGTATCTTAAAATTATGTCTCGGTAAAAATAGTCATAACTGATGTTTTTGTCGTACATTTTTTCATGTGACATCGGTGCTCCATCTAGTTCTGGAAAAAATAATTATAAAGTAAAACACGAACGAAAAAACTCAAAGATTTCTTAGAAACCTAAGCAAAAGAAATATTATTTCTAATTGTGTTTACAACAATTTATATTCTACAGGCTTCCAACCTGGAGTACTATATGGCCTGCCGAAAATGCACAAACCAGACACCCCCCTCCAACCTATACTGTCCACCTTAGGCAAAACTCATTCTTAACTAATATGTTTGTCGAGCCACTTAAGATACCCACCGTATCCAACCTTCCTTTACACACCTGCTTACCATATCTCGGGAGACAGAGTTTGTGTTAGGCACGCATGGTCTGTACAGATTATTTGCTGTAATCAAAGAACTGTGCGATCACTAAAAGAGTGGAAGTTAACATTAGAAACAAGAGCACAGCTGCTGCACACTCGGTGTTAAGAGTTTGATTAACGCCATAAGAACTTATCAGTTTAAACATCTCGTTATATTCCATGAACCTTCCCCTGAAAACTAGCCTGTTGGCACCAGCAAAGTGAGAAAATCGACCACAAGTTTTAAAATATTCTGTTTCTACTGGGTAGACGTGTAAATAGTAGCTTAAGTCCCGGAAATGTAATATTTTAAAACTCTATGTGATTGAAATATAACAAGATCTATACTTTCCATTTACAAAACTAAGACAATGAACACTCGATAAATCGTTTGTCTGATATTCACAAACAACATATCAAAGAGAAAATTACACACTTTTCACAAAATAAATACAAACTTAATTGTTTGTTGTTGGAATCTTTAACTTTATACGTATCCTTACTTCACTGTAATTTCGTAAGAAAGCTATGTTTTCGTCACAACAGTCATTCAAATAAACAAACCTGCCACAAAATCTGTAAATATATATATATTACCATTTTCTTAAATTTAAATATACATCCATATGTATATATTTGTGCTTCAGTCTTTATCACAAATATCTTCTTAACTCTCGTTGTCCTCTGACTATTCATCAAATGAAACTGCTTCATTCTGGTTATTGCAAGTTTACAATTTTCAAATTTCTGAGCAGTTCCGAACATTTGAAACACACACAGAAGAAGATATTTCACACTCACAACATAGCTACGTGATAAAGATTCAAAAACAGCATCAGGAGCTGTTGGTCCATCTGTCAAATCAATCTCAATTAGATCTGAGTCTTTATTAATCTGCCCTGACTATCTGAAAATTGCTCCAAACTTCTCTTCCAGATGCCAACCTGGTGCTTTGATCTCAAGCAATCTTTATAAAAACTATAAGTACAAGAAGGCAAAGTGGATGAACCGATCTCTCCCTTGTTTGAACAAAACATTCGGTACCGCAACTTGTTTTCATCAGGTTGCAACTGTAACTTTGCAACCAAAACAAATTACATTTACAAATTTTGCTCTAACTGTCGAAGCATCATGATTAAGAAGTTTCAATAACTAAAAAAATGGAAAGAAAAAAAAAAGAGTATCAAGAAAATAAAAGATCCGCACTCACTAAAAATGCTTAAATAAAAAGAAAGAAAAATGTATTAAACAATTTTAACTCAAAATAAATATATATTTGTATTATTTATTATATACCTTACTTTTACTTTTCAATATGATAGTGAACCGAAGTTGATATACAAGTTGATTTTTTTAAAAAATAAAACCTTTTATCGTCAGAGGGATTTAGAAAATAAGTAACCCATGACTTACGCCTATCCTATAAATTATAAAACGCCAAAAGTGATATATTTCCATTATTCCTTATATATATTTTACTTTTAAATATGACAGTGAACTGAAGTTGACAGAATCGATTTCAGGTTGAATTATTATTTTTGTTAAAAAATAGAACCTTTCATCGTCAGAGGATTTAGAAAATAAGTAATCCATGACGTACGCCTATCCTATGAATTATAAAACGCCAAAGGTGATACATTTATACTATTTATTTGACAAGTATATATTTAAAATGCTTAATTTTCGTATTTCTTATTGTTATTTTGAATATTGTTTATTATGAAAACCATGAAGATCAAATTTATAAACTTCTACTTGAGTACAGACCATCCAATAAACATCTAGTGTAATAATTAAATAAATTTTGAATACAGAGGGATTAAAAAAGGAGTGACAGAAACTTAGAATTAAACCATTGTCATGTACACAAGACAGGATTAATACTCACATAACTAAGAGAAGGATAAGATTACTTGTGACTTAGTGAGATGGGCTGGATTACTGCTTCAAATACTCAAACAAGTGAAACATTAGTGTACTATTGTTTTGTTATTCTGTATAGTTCCTCTTCCAAGTCTATTATTATACAATCAAAATGGCAATGTTTATCATTCATATAGAAGTTAAAAACAAGAGTAGACATTGGTTATGAAATTTGCACTGATTATACTATTAGTATTACCAGTAACGTGAGCACTGTCGATGTCATTCAATCAACTTGCATTATATTTTCTAACTTTACTATCATCATAACTTCAAAGTTCAATTTAAAAACTGTAGTTGAAAACTACATTAATCCCACAGACTTCCTCGAGCAATGCCATCAATACAATATTATGCGAGTACTTTAATTTTGCTAAAGTCATTTCACAAACCATTAACTTATGTTGGGTGGAATACATATTAATTTTGGACTCTTCCACCAAAAGGCCATGCCTCTACAGTTTGGAAAATATTGTCATAGAAAATTTTATTGTAATCCTTTTTTTTTGGTCAAGTGCTGTTCCCATTTCTCTACATAAAGCTCAACACTCTTTGAAATGTTCTGTGCAGATTTTCACCATTGCTAAACTCACTTTTAAATGTAATAGTTCTACAGTAAACACATTTTCTTTATTGTGTAACATATTATGGCAAGTTTATTTCAATCCCATGATAACAAAAAATGAAATGGCTAGTGTCCAATGAGCTGTTAGGGCCACCTATCCTTGAAAGATACAAGAATTTTGACACATTTGTGTGTGCCACAACTGAAGCTTTATTCTATGGAAGCTATGCCAGCTGTTCCAAAAAACTAATGAAAAGATATGTACAACCACACTGAACTGTACATTAAAGCATGAGTAACAAAAAAGATTTATTGAAAGATCATATGTCAAATTCTTGTGTTTTAATCAGGTAAAGCTTTATAGTAACAAATTCCTGGCTGTTTGTTCCTGTGTATGGTCTTATATGTGTGAAGTTTGAGTTGCCAAAGAATATGTCCCCCCTGCAGTTTTAAACATTCTTTTGATTGTTACGTAGTTAACTGTTTCTTGTGTGAGAATTGGATTCATTTATATTTTTACACTTGAATTATAGGTAGTAAAAAGTTTGTCATAAAGTATATTTTTCCATATTGTCACATTGTTATATGATTGGGTACTATACAATGATAAACAGATTGCAATTTTCCTGTTATTGCAATGTATCAAGTGTCTCGGGTTATTTTACTTGGTTATTTTACTTTTTCTCACCGTGAAGAAATATTACAAAAAAAATATTGTGAAATTGTTCAGTATTATAGTGTAT